GGATCTTCCCTGTGGGCTGTCCCAGCTGCGTCCTCTCCCTTTGTCGTCAGCGCTGTGGGGAGGATTCCAACTCCTAGCGACCCTGTGGACGGCAGACGGAGCCCTGCCTGGTCTTTTTGTGCCATCTTCTCACCTTCTGGCGCTTTTTATCAGACAATGCTCCACTAGTATTCATAGGGTTTTTATGGCCGATTTTTTTGGAAGTGGGTGGCCAGGTCTTTCTTCCTAATCTTTGTTAGTCTGGAAGCTCTGCTGAAACCTGTCCACCATGGGAGACCCTGCTGGTGTTTGAAATCCCAGTGGCATAGCTTTCAGCATCACAGCCACACACAGCCGCCACAGTGTGACAACCCACAGATGGTGGTGTGGTTCTCTGACCAGACACAGACCCCGTGAGAGCGTGGGGTCTTAATACTAGACCCCCAGGGCTGCCTCATGTCTCCTGCCTGCCTTGACTGGAGGGTGAAAGCTGGGGAGCTGGAAAGCCTAAAGAAACGAAAATGTTTACAAAATAAGTAGCAACAGAAGGCTTTCCGTCTGGGCGGGCCCTCGGCTGGGGCTTCGTGTGGTTCTGCCGCGGGAGGACGCTCTAGATGTGCTGCCAGAAGTCTCACTTCCTCCGACCTGGGCGTTTCCCCACCTTGCTGGTCCTCGTCGTCTTGTTTTACTCTCTTACGTCCCCGTGTGCCGACTGGATGCTGACCGAGGCCCAGGCTGTCTGACGTTCGTGCTGTCTGCATGTGGACTCGGCATCTGCGAGTCCTGGTGACCTCCCCACGTGTGAGCGGCTTGTCTTTTTGACAGGATTTCCAGCTTGGACTCAGGGGCCCTATCTCTTGCTTCGTTTTTGTTTCCAACAAAGGAAAACTCAGTGTCTTTTGGTCATCCCGTCAGGACTATTTAAGGAGCCCCTACCGAGCGCCTGAGGCCATGTGAGGCTCCTGGACTACACTCTCACGGGTAGACACGCAAACACAAGAATCTCCGCATTTCATTTCATTGGAGAAAAGCATTAGAAACGCCCGGAGGACGTGAGCCTGGCTGTTGAGCACAGAGCAGAGGTTCCATGGCGTCTGTGGAGCGAGTGTGTGACGTGCGTGAGGCTATGCCGGGTGAGGGAGTCACATTAGGGATGGAGCTGGATTGGCTGTTCGTGAGCCTTTCTCTGGGTCCGTGTCTCCTTCCTTCAGATGTGAGTGCACACAGAGAAATACAGCAGCCATCTGTGCTGGAGGACGTGGGAGAGAAGACCTGAGCTCACTCTTGGTGCAGAGGCTGGCCTCTGCCTGCCTCCTCCCACACCTCCTCGCTCCTTGTCCCAGCAGCACAGTCTCCCTGGGTGTCCCATGCCACCTTGTCTGAGAGGGGGGTTTCCACTCTCGAGCGCCGTCACCTCAAAAGCAGACGAAAGTCCCGCTGACGACCTTGCCGACACTCGCTGAGCACTCCCCGCCACACAGACACAGGAGCAGTGGGCCTGCCGCCTGGCACTGCAGTGCTGCTCACAGAGAAGGCGGTACCACTTCGGGGGCACCCAACCGAGAAATTACCTTCCAACAACATCTCGAATCCAATAAAGGTCATATTTTCCATTATTAGGGAGTTACAGAAACAAAAGAAGAGCTGACAAGCTGGGGTCCGGAGGCCTTTCAGAGTGAAGCAGAGGGCCGGGCCCGCGGCAGGCAGCCATGTGGTAACCATGAGGGCGCTTCAGCAGGCAGGTGTGTTTCCTCCTCGCGGGCGGAAAGTGGAGGCGCCGGCACACGCCCCTGTCAGGGAAAGAGGAAAATGGGCACAAATGGGCTGCAGCCATCTCTAGCCGTGAGGCATACCCAGTTTTTAAGGGTCAGGTTGAATATCGAAACCTATAAATGTTAAAATACACACGAGGGGGCTGGCCCTGTGGCTTGGCGGTTAAGTGCGCGCCCTCTGCTACTGGCGGCCCGGGTTCGGATCCTGGGCTCGCACCGACGCACCGCTTCTCCGGCCATGCTGAGGCCGCGTCCCACATACAGCAACTAGAAGGATGTGCAACTATGACATACAACTATCTACTGGGGCTTTGGGGAAAAAAAGGAGGAGGATTGGCTATAGATGTTAGCTCAGAGCTGGTCTTCCTCAGCAAAAAGAGGAGGATTAGCACGGATGTTAGCTCAGGGCTGATCTTCCTCACGAAAAAAAAATTAAAAAAAAAATACACACGAAATGTTGTACTTGTGGTACTTCACATTCCAGATCAGGTGACTGTTTTGGTTACTGTGTGTTTCCAGGACATGAGAACGGCAGTGCGGTGAAGATCTTCCCCTTCCTTTATTTACGGGTAACGTTCCTCAGGGCGCGTGGAGTTGGTCTTGCATTGAATAGGCCGAGACAGATGCCCAAGCATGAATTTGCCATGTCTGGTGAAGTGAGCTTTGCTTCTGGGCTCAGGCTGCCCGAAAGGCCCAGGCTGTGTGCTGAGCTGTGATCCTCCCAGAGCGGTCAGGGCGCCAGTGAGGTGACGCCGCGGGAGGAGGCGCCGTGGAGTCCAGCACTGCTGTGCTCCAGGTGGTGCGTCTGCGTGCCAGGTGGAGGCTCTGGGCTTTCTCTTCCTCCGAGGTGTCTTGGTGTAACTGCACAGGAGCCAGTCCTTGTTTTGAGTAAGAATAGAGTGTTTCTCAGGTTAGTCTCTAAGGGAAGGGGTCTCGAATGCTCCCTGGGTGGCTGCTGCCCCATGGGCCCGCGTGTCCCTAAGACACAAGCGCGGGAAGAATGGCTTCCCGTTAGATGCTCAGCAATGCCATCTACATTGCTGCTGTGAAAACCTGTTTTCTCTGAGGATCTGAAATGCATACGTGTCTCGCCTCTGAACCTTCTTCCTGACAACAACTGAATGTAATAAAAACGTGTTTGTGTTCAACTCCGACCGTCTGCACAGGAGGGAGCGTGGCCCCGTGCCTCCTGTCTCCTGCCCTCTGGGGCCCTGTCTCTCCCTCAGCCTGAGGTGGCGGCCACCGGGGGGTCGACTGTTGCCTGCGTTTCTCTTGTTGTATCTGGCCTTGAACCAACACGTGTTGATTACACGTGAATCTGTTAACCACTTGGCTGTTCGCTGCTGTGCCGGCCAAGCAGACCAAGCTCCTTGGGCCTGAGCTCTGGACGTGAGCTCCTGTCCTGTTCCAGGAGACGTGCCTGACCAGTGACAGGATCTCGATGAGCATTGGTGACGAGTTATTGAGGGAGGAAGACAAGCAAAGACCAGCCCAGTGATCCGGAGAGAAACAACTATTCCAGGAAGTGGAGTAAAAAGAGAGCGAGTTGAAAAATATTAGATAAAGCTGTAGAAATAATGGATCCATCCGTGAGGCCCAACGTTATCTAACAGGAATTCCAGAGGAAAATGGTAGAGAAACGGAGAGAGGAGAGATTTACAGAAGACTCCCAGGCCTGGCACCGGTTCTGAGGGCTTCAGCGCCCTGCAGGAGCAGAACCCCTCACAGAGAAAACGGTCAAGCGCTAGAATCTGCAGGCTTCCCGGAGGGCAGAGCAGCTCAGGTCCCTGACCCACAGGGAGCAAGAGGACCTGGTGGGTCCGACCCCGCAGCGGCAGGGAGACAGCGGAGCCCAGACGTTTGTGGGAAAATGATTCTGCGTCTGTCTGTAGCCAGACTGACTTCCGCTTGTGGCCTCTATCGACTAGTGGGGACTAGGTCCCCTCTGCCACCACAGACAGCCAGGGAGCTGGACTCTGCGAGCAAGCCATCTGGATGCCATCAGCTGGCGGTTAGCTCTGTGACCCCGGAGGAGGGAAGTGGACGGGTGAGCTGCAGCGTCCAGTCCTCGTCCTGGAGGTGCATTGGTGACATGGGGCAGGGAGGTATTCCACATGGATCCCGAGGCGTGTGAGGAGTCGGAGAGTGGAGTTGGGGGTTTGTGGGCACATTCTGGAGAGGAGGGAACTTCAGTGCTCCCTGAGCCTGTGTGACTGTACGGGGAGAAGAGCCACAGGGCCAGGCAGAGGAGAGGATGCAGGGGCTCCTGCAGGGCTGGGCGTCATGCGACTCTCCCCCAGCCCATGGCAGCCCCGTTGTCACTTGGGACACTGAGCACCGACTCCAGGAGGCGACATCTGTCCCCACACAGAGGCTGCTGGCGCCTCCCTGACAAAGTTTCAGTAAGAATTGCTGAGATCAGCTCGAACCGAGGGCCCGTCACCGCTGAGTAGCACGAGGCCCCGCGGCCCTGATGGTGACAGAACCTGGACCAGCAGCACGGAATTCACCACGTCCAGTGAATCAAAACCTCTGCTCGAAGCCAGTGTGTGAGAAGCAGAAGGTGATGCTAACCAGGAGAAGGGGCAGTCTGTGGACACAGACCCAGGAGCGGTGGAACGCCAGAGTCAGTGACCAGGAGTGAGGGATGCTGGACTCGGTGACCAGGATGGACAGAGAGTCCGTGTAACCGGCCGTGTTCCAGAGTTTAGAGGAACTGTGAGCGCGACAGCGGGCCCTGGGCTTGTGGGGACGGGGCATGAGCGATGCCTGAGATGGAGGAACGTGGGCATGGATGTCATGCACAGGCTGTGGCTGTAGCTCCCTCAGCATTCAGGGCCTCGGTTTCCCCTCCGGTAACATGGACTCAACAACAGTACAACCTGGTGAGATTGTTGGAGAGGAAATGCGTGTTGCGGGAAGCTCCCCACAGCTCGTGGCTCCTCAGAAGTGACGGCCGTGACGTCGCTCGTGGGAGTCCCCAGAAGCCCGTCCCCCCAGCCGGGGCTGCTCCACCCTGAGTGCAGCGCACGCCTTCTCCACCCCGTGTTCTCCGACTGCCAGTCAGGGCCTCCACTGCCACAGACTAGGCAGGAGCTTCTGGGCTGTTGGTGACCAACGCTGCGCCAGAACTCGTGGCTCTGGGCCTTGAGCTGCTGGGCTAGCTGCCCTGTTGGACCCCAGAGCGGCCTTGAGAGCCTGCCCGGGGCCCCTCGTGCCCTCCTGACCTCCCTGTGCTTGTCTCCTCAGCGTCCTCGAGTGCCAAGGCCTCCCCATCGTGAACGGGCAGTGTGATCCCTATGCCACTGTGACCCTAGCAGGACCATACAGGCAAGTAGCCACTGCCCGCACTGCCCACAGCTCCAGCCTGGAGTGGGGGTCGTGTCACCCGGAGCTATGGCCCAGACTCCTTGTTCAGAGGGGCGCACGTGCTGCAGGCTGGAATGTACAGTTTAGATTTGCTTTGTCTCCCTTATTACCCCAAAATTGCTTTGTTAAAAGAAAGGCTTTATGTTCTTCACATTGGGTATTTCTGGCTCAGCAAAGGTTCCTGATTTGCATCCATCTGGGGTTGGAGACAACCAGAAACGTTTATGAGATAAGCAGAGGCAGTAAGTTACCACGTGTTTGTAGCTCCGTCTGAAGGCTGAGAGCTTTGGCATCAACGGTGTTGTTTTTAATCCTCATCTCTTCCTCTCTTGACTACAGGTCAGAAGCAAAGAAGACAAAAGTGAAGAAGAAGACCAACAACCCCCAGTTTGATGAGGTGTTTTATTTTGAGGTTGGTATTTCCGGGCATGAGTGTTAACGTTGAAACCCTGCACCCGAGATTCTTTGGCTAAAACTCCAGCTCTGGGAGCTCGGTCACTTGCTTCTTCCAGAAAGTTCTCGGAGTGATTCCGTCCCACCCTGCCCTTGCCAGGTTCAATTCCCTGGAAAGAAAGGCCAGTTGTTACTTCCAGAATGACCTGGTTTTGAGTTGAATGCTGACAATTTAATACTTTAGTATCTGTCAGGACTTGGGTTTTTTTATTGTTTGTTTGGTTCTGGGGTTTTTGTTTTTGCCTGCCCCACCCAGTCCCCCTGAGCAGTGGAGGGAGGCTGGTCTCCCCGGAAAGAGTGAGGGTTTTGAAGCAAAAGAGGAAGTGTGTTTGGACAGAGGTCCTGCTGCTTCTCAGCATGTGAACCAGCACCAGTCAGACGGGAGGCGTGAGGCCTGAGCCCGGACAGAACAGCAGGCAGGGCTGGTCAGTTAAGATGGCCCAGACGTCACCTGTCCAGGCAGGTCTCTCTCCATCCGAAAAGGTTTCTTGAATGCTTCCTGTCACCAGGCCCTGGGTGGGGGGACGAATGAGGCCTGCACTCCTGTTCTCGTGAACTTGCTGCCATGGGAGAAGGGTCCATGTGAGCAAGTGGTCGCTTTTGGTCCCTGACTGTCAAGTCAGTGGCTTTGGGGAACAAGGAGCAAATGCAGCTACCAGTCCTGCTGGGACTTGGTGACATCTGAGTGGAGTCTGGGACTGGGGCATATCCGTGTGTGGAGCATCGGGGCTGCAGGAAACAAGGATGGAGGGTGAGGTTGGGGCGAAAGTGGGGGGTTTTGGAAAATGATGTTGGAGAGATGGGTTATAAGTGAGGGTCTCGTGTGCAGAGAACTGGACGTTTTCTAGCTGGTGCCCGGAAGTCCCCTTATTTCTTAAGTGGGGGAGGCCAGTGGCCAGCCATGTTGGGCAGCCTTGCCGAGTGTTGGAGGCAGGATCCTGAGGGTGCAGCTGAAGGCCGCTCTCTGTCCCAGATGGATGTTCCTGCTTTACCGCCAAGCAAACAGTGGGTTTTCAGAGACTCAAGATAAGGCAGGAAGCCATTGTGGCCACTCTGACCTCACAGGGGATTCGTGTGGGTCTCCAAGGGCAGGGATGAGGTCTGGGTCAGCAATGTAGAAAACTGTGCATCACAGGTGGCAACAGCCTCCACGTCCAGGCTGCCTAGAATGGCTCCATCAGCGCTTTCCAAACTAAACAGCACAGTGAGGCGAAGGGGTACATGTGACGTTCTTTCCTCACGCGGCCGTGCCCAGCTCTGCGCATCCTCACCCACCCCGGGAGTGGTGCATACGTTGGGTTCTATTTCGTGTACTTCTGTGTCACTCTGCAAAAATGTGGGTCTCAACTCGCTAGATTAGTTTAACGGCCCCCAGATAGGATTGAACACGGTGGTCAGGACCGCAGCCTGCAAGACCCAGGGAGGCCCAGACCTGGCTCTTGGCTGCTGCTTAGGGTGCCCGGGTGCCTGCCTGGCTCACCACTTCAGACCAGAGGACCCTAGAGTTCACTTCTGTTGGGAGTTCATGTCCTGTGACTCGCAGGCTCAGCCCTGTCGGCAGCGAGACCCTCTTGTCAGGTCCTCGTCTCGTTTCAGCCCCTGGCAGGGCAGCGTGTGGTCCTTGGGGGCTGTGGCTGGCAGGCGGCTGCCCACAGGAGTTTCCACAGAAAGTAGCTACAGAGCATGTTCTTCAGGATAACAGCTGAACTCATCTAAAGCCCTTAGGTATCTAAGTGAAATTATTTAAACTCTATAAGAGCCCCCTTCAGTCACCCGATAGATGTGTTAGGTGGCAGACGGGAATAAGATGGAGAAGAAAGTAGACCAGCCCCTGTGCCAGGAGTGGGAAGCCAGTGAGCGGTAGGCCTATCACAGCTCTGTGAGCCGCCCCAGGCAGCGGAGGCCAGGGGGGCCTTCTGGAGGAGGCAGCATTTCAGAGACACCTGCAGGCTTCCCAGCACGGGCCTAAGTGAGGAAGGGGGCCGCAGTTTGCAAGTTGTAGAAGGACCCCCGTGTGCTTGTGGTGAGTGGGGCGCATGGCCTCCCTCCCTGGGCGTGGGGGCTGGTCATCACGGTGGGCGCTTAGCGAGCAGAGGTTATGGTGTAATGTGCTCTCCCCCTCTGCGCCACCAGGTGACCAGGCCCTCCAGCTACAGCCGGAAGTCCCACTTCGACTTTGAGGACGAGGATGTGGACAAACTCGAAATCCGGTGAGCGAGAATGGGGTTTCGAGATACCTGCTTGGCTGTGGTCAGAAGTCATCTCTTCTGTTCGTTTTTTGTTTTGTTTCTACGAGTAGGGGAATGGACAGAAGGGAATTTCCATTTTCTTGGTAACTTTGACACTAGGAGGTTGGAAGCTGTGGGTGGGCAGGAGCCGTGAACTTCCCCGGAGTTGAGTGGTGGCTGACCCGGGGCAGGTGCACTTGAATGGGTAGCTGGGCAGCGTTTTCTCAGAGGCGAGGGTCACAGCTGTACGCTGCTCAGTGTGTGCAGGCTCTGCCCACCCAGAGGCATCGCCCCACCTAGCACCCTGGTCCTAGCTGCTCGGGTCCTCTGGTAAAGTCCTTGGTGCTCGTGGTCCGTACTCACCGCCCTCGGAGATCACAGCGCGGATGTTCACTGGCGTCAGTTTTAAGAACCACTCAGGGGCCGGCCCTGTGGCTTAGCGGTTAAGTGCACACACTCTGCTGCTGGCAGCCCGGGTTCGGATCCCGGGCACGCACCGATGCACCGCTTCTCCGGCCGTGCTGAGGCCGCGTCCCACATACAGCAACTAGAAGAATGTGCAACTATGACATACAGCTATCTACTGGGGCTTTGGGGGAAAAATAAATAAATAAAAATTAAAAAAAAAAAAAAAAAACCCCTTGGGCCCTTCTTCCCACCTGCAGCGCCTTTCCGGCCTCTGAGCAATAACCAGGCTGTGGGAAGGGGCTCTGGCCCGGAGGCGCTGACCATCGGAGTGTGAGGTGTGGGACCCTCGGGCTCTGCCCCCTCCTGGCCTCAAGTCCAGAGACTTGTTCACACAAAGAACTATTGATAGGAGACTGGGCTTTGAATTCGAGTGAAGTCCGAGTTGTTTTTTTTAAGCATACAAACCAAAGACGTTTTTAAATGCTTCCCTTACTAAAAAGAAAAAAAGACTGCAGCCACTTGTTTGCCATGTTGCTGAAGTGTCGCTTGTCAGATTAAAGGCTCTGCTTCCTTTATTCTAAAAGTGCTGTGCATGAGACACCTTTCCTCTTCATATCCCTGACATGTGTGTCCTGTGGAACGTCCTTTACCTTCTGTGATGTCAGCTGCCCCGGCCCCGACTTGCAGAGGTAGCAGAAGGGCTGGTGCAGTCTTCTAGAATCTTCCCCCTGACCACCAGGTGTAGTGAGAACTAGTCTTGGGTTTTCAGCTCATGGAGTAACCTCTGCTTAAGTTGTTTCCTGGGGTGTACACGACGTTCACTTGTTAGCACCAGGGAGCGCCATCTGTCCATCCCTGTGTCTGCCACGCAAGTACAGTCACCATGGCCCCAGGAACAGTGAGAATTCCACTCAAGGAAGAGGGTCAGTGAGTGACCAGACTCTTGAGCCAGGTGAATTGCACTGTGGCTGCAGCATTGGCCCAGCCCCGTCTCCCCTTCCCCGTTGGGAGTGTCGCCTCCTTGAGAGGTCGTGATTTGCGCTGGTGGGTCCCAGGGCTATGGGTGAGTGCAGGTGGAGAAGGAGGTCAGAGACCCCCAGTTTTTCTCTCCTGATGATGGAAGCAGGGAGCTCCCTGCAGGCACCATCCTCTGCAACAGCCGAGCAGAGCTGGACTCATTCAGTCCCTCTACTGTGCTGACCCTGCGGACGGAGGTCACCCTCCTGTGCTCCTGCTGGTCTGAGATGCCCCCGCCTTGAGGGGCCACAGGTCCTGCTGCACCCCTCCTCCCCCGGGTAGAGGGGACGGATGGACATGTCGGCATGCAGCGGCTCCCTCCTGCTGCACAGACAGGGCCCCTCCTCCCCAGCCCAGGCTGCACATTTTCGGTCCCCAGTTGTCCTGCTGTGTGCACATGTTTTAGCTGCACTCAGTCCGTGTGCCTCTTCGTGGAGACAGACGTGGTGGGGCTGAGGGCTGCTTCTGCTCCAGACCCTCTTGGGGAAAAGGAGGGGCACTGGGAACAATCTCTGCCCCCCAGGTCATCCCTTAAGAATGCTTTTGTAGGGCCGGCCCCGTGGCTTAGCGGCAGAGTGCGCGCACTCCAATACTGGCGGCCCGGGTTCGGATCCCGGGCGCACACCGATGCACCGCTTCTCCAGCCATGCTGAGGCCGTCCCACATACAGCAACTAGAAGGATGTGCAACTATGACATACACCTATCTACTGGGGCTTTGGGGAAAAAAAAGGAGGAGGATTGGCAACAGGCATTAGCTCAGAGCCAGTCCTTCTCAGCAAAAAGAGGAGGATTAGCACGAATGTTAGCTCAGGGCTGGTCTTCTTCACAAAAAATAAATAAAAAAAGAATGCTTGTGTACTGGTCATTGCTTTTCAGGGTTGACCTCTGGAACGCCAGTAACCTGAAATTTGGAGATGAGTTTCTGGGAGAACTGAGGATTCCGCTGACGGTGCTGCGGCAGTCTAGCTCCTACGAGGCCTGGTAAGGTGCCCACAGGGTGTCGGGGTGCACTGGCTGACAGGGGCAGAGGTGAAAGTCGGGAGAAACACAGCTACCTCTGAGCCCCCACCGCCCCACTCTGGTTTGGCACGTGGTCCTTGCCAGCTCCGGGGGGTGGAGGGTCTTGGGTGAGAAGTGGCACCAGGAGAGGTCGGTGAGATGGTCACACCAGAGCGTGAGAGCTGAGAGCAGCTTTGGGCCTGACCACAGAGGCAGGCAGCGGGCGTCCTCGGGACGTCCCCTTACCAGCCTCTGCCCTCCTCAGTGTCACCTGATGAGGAAGGTGCACAGGGCATGCAAGGGCCAGGCACGTCTCCATTTAAATCAACATCTAAACTGGGGGTCTCAGTTTTGCCTTCTGCCTCACTCCAGTGTCCCCAAAGACTGAGATCTAACCACGTCTGGGGCCTGCAGTCTCGTCTTCTCTCGGGCACTTTGTGTTCTGGCACCAGGAACACACCTATCCTTATTTCATGGTCAGTTCATGAATCGCCTCGTGTCACAGTGGAGGCCATCACTATGAGGCCTCTGACGCTCTGGCTCTCACTTCATGCATCTCCTGTAACAGACATGCCAGGTGGGGAGAAGATGTGGGCCACACGCCACACGTCTCACGCCACATGCCACACCGCATGTCACACACCACATGTCACGTGTCACACCACGTTACACACCACACAACTCACACCGTGTACACACCACATGTCACACCATGTCAGACACCACAGATCTCACACATGTACACACCGCGTTGTACCACATATCATGTCACGTCACACCACACATTTCACACCATGCACCGTGTACACGCCACATGTCACAGCACATCACACATCACATGTCATGTCACACGTCACACCACATCCGACACCACAGATCTCACACCATGTACACACCACACGTCACACCATGTCACATGCCACACATCTCACACCGTGTACACGCTACACGTCACACCACATGTCACACACCACATGTTACATTACACATAACACCATATCAGACACCACAGATCTCACACCATGTAGACACCACACATCACACCACATCACACGTCACACCTCACACCACATGCCACACATGAAACATGTCACACACACATGTCACACCACCTGTCACATACTACACGTCACACGTCTCACACCACTCGTCATACGTCTCACGCTGCACGCACACACCAGAGCCCTGCACATCTGCAGACTCACCGTGTGGGTACGTTTTGGGGTTGTGCCTTATGGCACTTCCTGTCACCAGGAAATGGTGGGACTCATGTCTTTCAGTCCACGAGGGTGGCACCAGCACAGCCCATCGGTCTGGTTCCTGTGGGAGGCAGTGCTGAGCTGAGCAGCCCAGGCCTTGTCCAAGAGTGGGACATTCGCCCAGTGGAAGCCCACCCAGGACCCTGTGGTCGGTCCCACATGCCTCTCAAACTGCCCAGCCAGTGAACTCAGAAGACAGGGTCCCTGCGTGGCTGCACTGGGTCAGATGGAAGGGAAGAGTGGCCAGTCAGAAATACCACTCAAGTGACTGTGTGTCCTGCAAGGACGCTGCAGGGCGTGTCTCGGGGGTTGTCCCCCTGCCTGACGGACCCTGTGGGGGGCATCCTGCAGAATCACCCTGGAGCTCCCTCCTGCCTGAGACTCTGGCAGACCGAGCAGCATGCTGGGCTCGCCCTGGAGGGAACTGGCCCCTGGAGGCGCCGCACCTCACGCTGCCGTCCGTGTGTCCCACACAGGTACTTCCTGCAGCCCCGAGACAGCGGCAGCAAGAGCCTGAAGCCGGGGGACCTGGGGTCCCTGCGGCTGAATGTGGTTTACACGGAGGACCACGTCTTCTCCTCTGACTACTACAGCCCTCTGCGTGACCTGCTGCTCAAGTCGGCAGACGTGGAGGTACCTGTGTGCCAGGTTCACCCCCCATTGCCATGCACCTGTGGGCCCTTGGAGCGGGGAGGACCACGCCTGCCCCCATCCTGTGTCCCCCTGCCCGGCCCCTGCCCACCTGCAGCCCGCATCTGGGCTGCCTCCTTCCGGTTGGTGCCGTTCCCCCGCAGCCTGGCCCCGGGGCCTGTTTCATGCCCAGGAACATGTGCATCTCCCTTTACTGGGGGGCGTGGGGCGGTCTAGGGGCACCCCTGGGTCACCAGTGTCCTGACACAGCCCGTCTCGGCGTCGGCGGCGCATGTCCTGGGCGAGGTCTGCAGAGAGAAGCAGGAGGCGGCCATCCCGCTGGTGCGGCTCTTCCTGCACTACGGCCGGGTGGTGCCCTTCATCAGCGCCATTGCCAACGCGGAGGTGCAGAGGACGCAGTGAGTGCCTCCAGGGGTGGAGGGCGGGGACCCGGGACGGCAGAAGTCCCCTCAAAGCTCAGGTGTGGGCAGCCAGCGGAAACAATGTAGGTTAAGGTTTTCTTTCAGAGACACGTTTATTGTTTTTAGAATTGCCCCTTTTCTCTTGGAAATCCCAAAGTGCGTGTGCAGGAAGGGGGTGAACAGTCGCCTTGGGGAGGAGCTCGGTCCTTGTGGTCGGGGGGCTGCAGTCCATTTTACGGCCACATGAGAGGATGGGGTCGCTGCCGCCCAGGACCTGTGCCCTCCCCATGGAGACAGGTCTGCTGAAAGCGTTGCTCCCTGGCGCTGTGGGTTCAGAAAGACCCAGAACGCGCCCTGGTTGAGAGAGGTTACAAAGCACAGCCTGTCCCGTGGGCACCTGTGCCACCTTGTGGAGGGGCGGGTCCCGTCACTCTGGGTCAGTCGATGGCAGCGCGTGTCCCGACTTGCTGAACTGTACCGGCCGCTCTGTGCAGGGGGTTTGTGACAGGCAGGGCGGGGTGATCAGGACCCCCAGCTGCACAACTGGGGTCTCGTGTTCCTCCTAAACCACCGGAAAGCAGACTCATCCAGCGGGCGAGGTTCTGCAGCCAATGGACGGGCAGTCGAAACAGGCCCTGCTTCGTGGACATCTTGCCATCCCGAGGGGAGATAAATCACCCCGATGCTGTTTTCCAGGGACCCCAACACCATTTTCCGAGGAAACTCGTTGACATCCAAGTGCATTGACGAGACAATGAAGCTGGCGGGCATGCAATATCTGCATGTCACCCTGAAGCCCACCATAGAGGAGGTGAGTGGGGGTCCCGCCCCGAGCCCCCCTGTAGAGGGGGCGAGTGGGGGTCCCCACGGGCCCCAGCAGTGCTAGGCGCGACGACGGATCTCCCTGCCGTGTGATGCCAGAGTGTTTTTCATTTTCTCAAATTAAAAAAATACTTAAGAAAACCCACCATTCTGCTAAAGACAGAAGGACATGCGAGAGAAAAGCTGCTTCTCCTGAGGACACCTACTTCCCACAGGCACTGGGTGTCTCCAGACTCGTGGGCCCGAGTTGTCTGAGCCCCGGTCCGTGTGGACAGCCTGTCCGTTGTTGCTCACCACTTGTCTGATGCACTCGAGGAGCCACAGGCTTCCTGTCGAAATGACTCAGCGTCCCCTGCCTGACCCCTGAACGGGATGCTTGGGCAGGCACTGTGTCCCCCAGAACAGTTTCACGAAAGCAGGTTCTTTGCAGTGTGAGAGAGTTTGAGATCGCATTCTTGTGCAATTGAGTGCAGACCCGGCAGCACTTTGATGTCAAAACAGTATTATGCCTTGAGAAGCCGATCCCATGTGAACTAATGCAGATGGTCTTCCAGAAAGTCCCGTTCTCACAGGGCTGAGGCCTCACACGCTGCCCTGGTGTCTGGCCTCTTCCCTTGTGCTCCTTCCAGCGGCCAGAGGTGGGCTAGCCATAGGCAGCCGTCTCTGAATGCAGCTCCTGAGTCAGCTAACCGCTGTGCACCTGCGCTCCCGCACTCACTCCTGTGTAAATGCTCTTTCCAGATCTGCCAGAGCCACAAACCCTGTGAGATCGACCCCGTGAAGTTGAAAGATGGTGAAAACCTCGAAAGCAACATGGTATGGAGTTCTGGTTTGTCACAAAAGTTTTCTAGAGCCAGAGCCTGCCTGGAGGATTGGTCCTGGCCACCTTGGCACTCTGTGTCACTCTGAGACTCGGGGAGAGGGGGCCTGGCTGGCCGTGCTTTGGGGACACCCCTGGAGCCTGAGGTGGGAGGTTCGACTGAATCACTGTTGAATGAGCAGTCTTGGTTGGCGGTCTGCCACCATCCTTCTTTCCTGTTCACTCTCGTCCTCATGGCCTATGGCTCAGGCCCTGCTCCTTCCCATCCCCCTGGGATGAGGAGCCCCCGGGCAGGTGGCCTCAGCCGCCCCACCACCTTCCCAGCCACCTTCCCTCCTCTAGACAGACACAGGCCCAGTAGGGCACCTCACGCTGCTCCCCCAGCTGAGTCCCACCTTTTAAACAGCAGAACTCTCTGGTTTGACACTCCACCCTGGTGTGCACGTCTTCTCCTGTGGTGTCTTCGTCCCGATCACGCTCAGTCTTTGTCGTGCCTTTAGGGAAAGGAGACAGGCCTCGCCTTTGGGAGTCATGTCCTGGTGCCCTCTATGCCCCGTCGATGAGGTCAGGCGTGGAGGAGGGGCCTTGGCTCTTCCCCCACGGACTCCAGTTGTTGACCTCTTATCACTATCAGGACCTATTTTAAGAGAAGTGGTTTTTTTAATTGCAATGGGAAGTATCTCCTTGCTGCCACAGCTGCTCTGAGCGAGACCTTAGCCCCCACTCACTCCCTCCCGAGTGTCCTGGTGCTTCCTGCGGCCAGCGTGGCAGCCCCAGGAGAGCGTCGGGCCAGTGCTGTGGGTGTCTGACTGCGTCCCGTTGCAGGAGAACCTGCGGCAGTACGTCGATCGCATCTTCAACGTCATCACCAAGTCGGGGGTGAGCTGCCCGACCGTCATGTGCGACATTTTCTTCTCCCTCCGCGAGGCGGCTGCCAAGCGCTTCCAAGGTCGGTCCCGTGCTAACATGCTCCTACTGCGGAAAATAGCTGCAGCCCTGCCCGGGCAGGGTCCCCCACCCTGCCCACACTCCCTGCCCCCCGCCGGACACCTCAGAGCAAAGGGGACATTTCAGAGTCCGTGTGAAGACGGTCCTAACATGGCTGCTGGGCCAGGGCTCAGACGTCCCCGTGGCTCCGTCCCTTCCCCATGTCCTGCTGCATCCGGACACGGCTCCTGTCTGTAGTTGTCCCGGGTGAGCCATGCCGCAGCCCTGGAAGGGACAGGAAGGCTGGCGGGCTGAGTGTCGTTGCTGTGGCTTATTCAGGACGGAGCATCAGCCCGTCTGCGTTTGAGCCTCTTCACTCAGGGGAGCCACGTGCCCGCCCGGTTCTCCCGCCCGGTTCTCCCTGTGGGCAGTCGCGGCACCGCCCAGCACCCTGCATCAGAGACAGGACGACCCCTCTGGGGACTGGGACAGGAGGGATCCCAGGGACAAACCCCATCTTTTTAATTATGCTCATTCCTTGGGAAGCCACCAGGAGCCACCCACGCAGGCCTCCCCATGGGCAAGGCAAGGTGTCTCACCCTGGCAGGCAGTATCGGGTTACCTGAGGCCCTGGATGCAGGACGCACACCACCTCAGGCCAGGTCTCAAAGGCCTAGGAGGTCTGTGTGGTGCCCGGCTCCCTGCCCGTCCCGTAGGCCCTGTCACTGATCCCAGCCCTGCCCTCCCCCCTTCCCTGGGAGCTGTGAATCAGCCAGGTGTGTCCTGCTGCCCCAGGAGACCTCTGGAACCTTGGCCTCTAAGCCCCAGAGAAGTGTCCGTGGCCCAGACAGGCCCATAGCGAGCCTGGCCCCTTGCCCACCTGGTGCCTCGGCCTGCACAGGGGAGCCCAGGCCATGCGCTTCGCGGCTGGCTGGACCTCCTGCTTTCAGAGAGCCTGGGCTCCTTCCCTGACTGAAGAGTGTCTAGTGTCTGGTGGGGGCAGGTACACCCGAGCCGCAGACCCTCTAGAGTGAGATGGAAGTAAATAGATATAAATAAATCATATCCTCCCACCCCAGATGTGAGTGAACCACTCCAAAATGAGCCATCTCCTATAGCACCATGAGACCTGGTCAGCGAGGTTGTGTCTGTTACAGCCCAGCTGCCAAACAGTGCTGAGATTTTAGTAATGGTGGGGGCGGGTAGAGAGACAGAAACACAGAGATAGAAAGAGGGAGAGACAGAGAGACTGAGAGAGAGAGAGAGACAGAGTGACAGAGATAGGGAGAGAGACAGAGACTGAGAGAGACAGAGACAAAGAGTGGGAGAGACAGAGAGGAGAGGGAGAGACAGAGACTGAGAGGGAGACGGAGACAGAGAGAAGAAGAGACAGAGAGAGACTGAGATAGACACAGAGATAGAGAGACCGAGACTGAGATGCAGAGATACAAAGAGGGAGAGAGAGACACTGCAGACACGAGGGTGGGGAGAGAGCTGCAGGCCGGCGCCTCCGCTTCCAGGAGGCCCTCGGGAGGAGCAGGGCTTTGGTTATAGCCCCTGTTCCCCAAAGTCCACTGCTGCCATCTCAGAAAGCCCTGTTGACTCGATGCTCTCTATGTCCTGGCCACAGATGACCTGGACGTGAGGTACACAGCTGTGAGCAGCTTCATTTTCCTGAGATTCTTCGCTCCTGCCATTCTGTCCCCCAACCTCTTCCAGCTCACGCCTCACCACACGGTAAGTGAGCATTAGGCCTGGTCAACCAGTCCTCCTGAACTAGCCAGTCCTAAACCATTCAGTCCTCCTAAACTTGCCAGTCCTCTTAAACCAACCAGTCCTCCTGAACCAACCAGTTCTCCTGAACCACCCAGACTTAAACTAGCCAGTCCTCCTGAACCGGCCAGTCCTCCTGAACTAACCAGTCCTCCTGAACCAGCCAGTCCTCCTGAACCAACCAGTGCTCCTGAACCAACCAGTCCTCCTGAACCGGCCAGTTCTCCTGAACCACCCAGACTTAAACTAGCCAGTCCTCCTGAACCGGCCAGTCCTCCTGAACCAACCAGTCCTCCTGAACCAGCCAGTCCTCCTGAACCAACCAGTGCTCCTGAACCAGCCAGTCCTCCTGAACCACCCAGTCCTCCTGAACTAACCAGTCCTCCTGAACCAACCAGTCCTCCTGAACCACCCAGACTTAAACTAGCCAGTCCTCCTGAACCAGCCAGTCCTCCTGAACCAGTCAGTCCTAAACTAGCCAGTCCTCCCGAACCAGCCAGTCCTCCTGAACTAGCCAGTCCTCCTGAACTAGCCAGTCCTCCCGAACTAACCAGTCCTCCTGAACCGGCCAGTCCTCCTGAACCACCCAGACTTAAACTAGCCAGTCCTCCTGAACCAGCCAGTCCTCCTGAACCAGTCAGTCCTGAACTAGCCAGTCCCCCCGAACTAACCAGTCCTCCTGAACCGGCCAGTCCTCCTGAACCAGCCAGCAGTTTTAAACTAAGCCTCCAAACCATCTGAAGGGTGAGAGAGATGCCAGGCAGGGTCCCCTGGGACTCAGAACTGAGGAAGGTGACCGGGCCAGATGTTGCTGATTCAACAGCGCTCTTTTTGCATATCAGGCCCAGAGTGCCGAACCCCACAGCGCTTCTCACACTTTGCCGAGCAGGAGCCACCTGGCTCCTTGTTGAAATGCTGGGGCCTGGGGTCTGGGTCTGGGGTCTCTGGTCTGGGTCTGGGGTTGGGGTCTGGGTCTGGGGTCTCTGGGTCTGGGTCTAGGTCTGGGGTCTGATTCTGGGGTCTGGGGTCTAGGGTCTGGATCTGGGCCTGAGGTCTGCGTCTGAGTCTGGAGTCTAGGGTGTGGGCTGCATCCGGGGCCCGGGGTCTGAGTCTGGGTCTGGGATCTGAGTCTGGGGTCTTGGTCTAGTTCTGGGCTCTGGAGTCTGGGTCTGGGTGTGGGGTCTGGGGTGGCCTGAGATCCCAATATTTAGCCACTCCCAGACCTCGTGGGGTGCGAGGATCCAGAGGAACTTTCCAGACCATAGTGTGTGCGTGTTTATTGTTTACTCACAGGCTGTGCTGTGGCAGCTTCCAGGTGATTTGTTCATTATGTCTGCTGTGTGATTCTGGGCTCGATCACAACATTTCTATAAAACTGAAATGAAACCTGCATTTCCCTTTCCCGTCTCCCACAGGACCCGCAAACTTCCCGGACGCTGACCCTCATCTCAAAGACAATTCAGACTCTTGGCAGCTTATCCAAGTCAAAGTCTGTAAGTCCTTTATTTTAATCCTCTTTTCAACACGAGACAAAGAGCGTGTGTATAATGCAGTTATGAGAATAAAGGACAATAAAACCAGCATGGCATCCCCACCAACCAGTAAGAAATAGAACCTTCCAGCACCTTGCGACCGCCTCTTTGCCCAGCTGAGCTGTGAAGCTCCTTTTTGAGAGGAAGTCATGGTAGTGCGGTGCGTCCCTGTCACCTGTAGCGTGGTGTCCACTCCCGTGTGCGATTCGCAGACCGAGGCTCCCAGCGCTTGGCTGCCATGGATGGCCAGTGAGCTGGGCGTGGCCTCGGCCTCGAGCACGTGAGGACGTCCATGCCCAGGACCGGAGGGCTCCACACGCAGCCAGCTGCATGCCCCTTCCTTCCCCTGCCTCCGTGCTCATTTCACCCCTTTTGGTGGGAAATCTTCGTCTGCCCTTCATTGTCACTCACTTCAGAGCAGACATTGGTGCCGAGGCCCGAGGGTCTGCTGCAGGCCCCACGGCCCACGAACAAGCCTCATGACGAGCGCTTCTGAGGACGGCGGGCACTGACGCTCAGCGACAGTGACATGGAGGCCGAGGTGGGCGTGTCCCTGGGTCGGAACCCACGGCTGTCTGTGACCTGGGCCGCTGGTCTAAGCGGAGTGAGGTGTCCCCTCCTGTCCAGAGAGGGTTGAGCAGCGACCACAGATGCGCCCACCATCCCTCCTTGTTCTGTCCTTTGTGGGGCTGTGAGTGAACCAGGGTCCCATCCCTGCAGACAGGCAGCCCCCCGTTTCTGGGCAGACGCATGGCCTTCTCTGAATCAGAGTAAAATAGAGGCATGTCAGGGCTCTGACTGCTCTTCTCCATCAGTCAACCCCAGTGTCTCTTGGCTGGAAGCCCAGATGAACATGCATCTTCCGGGTCTGAAGTCTGCACAGACCCACCTCATTCTCACATCCAGAGGTAGTAAAGGGACCTCAATATGAAAACTATGGCAGGTCTGGGCAGCCTCAGGACCATTGCTGCGAAGGCCCTCCCTGCATTCCTGGGTTTGCCCCACTCCAGCCGGCCCGCCGGCTCACCGAAGAGCCTCCGTCCTAGCGACCACCATCGGGGTGGGTGCTGATGTAAACATGGTAGACCGGGGACCCACAGGGGGAAGGGCGTTGAGTCGTTTGTAGCAAAGAACTCACCGAGGACCCCCATATGGTTAGCTTTTAAAAGCACAGCTTAAGTGGAATTCATCGTATCTGAAGGTTTCAGCGAGCTCCTATGACTTCAGGTTGGCTACACCTGTGAACCTCTAGGGTACGGCTGACCCCCGTACCCAGCACTTCCCTTTGTTTAGTAACCACAGCTGAGGCTTGTCATAATCATTGCCTCTGGATTTTTCAGATTTGGGCCATGACCAAGAGACCAGTAGGCTTTCATTAAGCAATGTGTTTCATTTTAGGCCAGTTTTAAAGAATCCTACATGGCTGCATTCTATGAATTCTTCAATGAGCAGAAATACGCTGATGCAGTAAAAAACGTACGTATTGATATCAATTAACATAGACTTACTGCCCCCATAGTGTATGTTGTTCCCAAGAAACAGAGTTACTTTTTTTAAAAATTGAGTTAAAATTCACATGACATAAAACTGACCATGAATCATTTTAAACGGTTCAGAGCACCAGTCCATTCACAGCGTCGTGCGACCCTCCCACACCCAGTGCCAGGACTCTCCCCAGCCCCAGAATGGCTTTAAACTCCTGTGGCCCCACCCCAAGGACTCTAACGTCTGGGGCTCTCATCCTTCACTTACGTCTGAATTCTTCCTCTCTAAGTGACTGTGCGTTATACCTTCGTAGACTATTGCCCCCGTTTGTTCCACAGATTCCCATGTTCTGCCCCATCTGGTGGTCTGCTCCTGGTCCCCCGCCCCCAGAATGTATCTGAGTCATGGAGCCCTGGCACACCAGACCCATTAGGGGCACGGTGCTTGGGGAGAAACTCTTCTGGATCTTAAAGCTTTGGTGTTTTCTTTTGTTTAGAAGCAATTGCACATGTTTATCTCTCAGTAATCATAAACCTGTGATCCAGAAGGGAAGGAAGGGAGGGGGCTGGGGGCAGCGATCAGCTAATGGAAGGGATCCAAATGGGCAGTGGACATGGAATTGGGCAGGGAGGCCCCACCCTGGCGAAACCACAGTGGGAGGGTCTTGGGAGATGAGGACAGCTGGTCAGACAGACGGGGCCCCACGCCGTATCAGATCCCATGAGACGCCTTCCTGGGTCACCTGTTAAAATGTAGGTGGACCTCCAGGTGTTATCTAAAGCCTGGCAGCCTCTCAGTGAGGTACCAGCTGGGGGTGCAGGGAGGCCGTCCCTGGAGGGGCCGAGGGAGGTCGGGGAGGGACGGAAGCTTCTCAGCTGCAGTGGAGATCAGTGCTGGACCCCCATGATTCCCACAGGGACCCAGTGTCCTGACTCCTGCTCCCCAGTGTCCTCTCTCCTGTGGTGTCAGGAGGAGACGCAGTATCCTGAGCATCGTTTCCACGTAAGAGGGAGCACATTCAGGCGTGGCAGTTCCCCTTTTAACCATCTGGTTTCTCTCCGGCTTTAGTTCTTGGATTTGATCTCATCCTCCGGGAGAAGAGACCCGAAGAGCGTGGAGCAGCCCATCCTGCTGAAGGAGGGGTAAGGCCCTGGGCCCGAGAGAGAGGGACGGGGGGCTGCCTCAGCCGAGAAGTGGGGCATCCTGCTCACGTGGCTGCTGGGCTCCCGGGTCAAGGGCAGCCCCGACCTTTTGGGGCCATGGGGACCTGGGAGCCACGTGGCCTTCGTGCATTGCTCTTAAATGCACCCAGACTGCGCCCAGGGCGTGTCTGAGACGTGTTGTTTACCTCGCTTCTCTGTGCCTGTTCTCTGCTGGACGTGCAGAGTGGAGAGGTGCCATCGGTTGGGGGAAAGGGGAAGAGAGACTGCACGGCTCCGGACAGTCTGGCATCTCCGCTCACCCGGGTTCAGGGTCTCACCCCACCAGCTCCTCACTCCCAACAGCCTCCGTCAGGAGACACTCCTGCCGCTCGACCAGGTGGCAGGTGCTTCACGTCGCAGCCTCGGCTTCCAGATGCACCTGCCCTGCTCGGGGCTGTGCCGGCACCTCCTCTCTGGGAGCGTCCTCGTCGGCACTTGCAGAGGGGAGGTGGGGGCTGTTGCCCTGCTGGAGGAACCCACTGTTGGCACCGACTTGTGGTCTCAAGTTCACTCCAGCACAGGGACTAAACCTTTCTAAAGTAGAGACACTTGGCTTTTGAATTTTTAGTCCTCTCACTCAGAAATAAAATTATAAGATGCTGGAAATCCACCGTCTGCGTCAAGTATGACAAGCGTGGAAGTGGGCCGTGGTTGGATTTTGCAGATGTGACTCTGGGCTGCGGGCGGGAGGTCAGGGGGACGAACCCCGAGCTGGGGACGGTCACCCACCAGCATGTCCTGTTCACAACAGGTTCATGATTAAGAGGGCACAAGGACGAAAACGCTTTGGGATGAAGAATTTTAAGAAAAGATGGTTCCGCCTGACAAACCACGAATTTACCTACCAGAGAAACAAAGGTAACCGGAGAGCCCGCCCTTCTCACGGGTCAGAGCTTGTCAAGGCCCTGTCAGGTTCCTGTCTGCTTGTCTGTGTGGCCTGGTGGGAGGCGGGAGTGGGCGGCGCACCGCCAGGCGCTGGTGTGTAAACTGGGTCTCGTGGGCAGTGGTGATCTTGGCTGTTTGGCCGCATTCTCCTGGGTCTGAAATGGCTCAGATCTAGATCGTGGACGTTGAGAAAGTGATTTCTCCCCATAAAAATGTGAGAACATGGTCCTGGAGACAATGCGAAACGAGGGGCTTCAGTTCCTTACCGCCGAGGCCTTGGGTCCCACCGGGAGCGCCTGAGTGAGGCCCAGGGTTCTCGGCACGCACAGCTGTCCCCCGTGCCTGCGGTCCATGTGTCTCAACCGCCTGGCCTGAGGAGGGGAGAGGACGCCCCTCCTAAGCCACAGGGGCCTTGGGGGCCGCTCACAACCCGTCTCTGTGCAGGAGACCAGCCGCTCTGCAGCATTCCCATCGAGAACATCCTGGCGGTGGAGCAGCTGGAGGAGGAGTCCTTCAAGATGAAGAACGTGAGTGCCGGGCTCCCCCCGTCCTCTGTACTCTCATCTCCCCGACGTCCTGCCACCCAGCTTCTCTCCTCGGGCTCACGGTACCTGGGTGCTCACGAGGCGCCACGCGACTTTGCATCCGAACTGCAGAGCAAAGTGGCCTGGTGCTCCCAGCGGGTTGGCTGGGGCAGGCAGAACCTGCCGGAAGGAGATGGGATGCCAGGGACCCCTGTGACAGGACACCAGGGACAGGCTTGGGGACCTATGGGATTTCTTTGACACTTTTTACTTCGATCTAGTTTTGAACTTACAGAAAGTTCACAAGAATAGAATAAGGACCCGGGGTTGCTGGCCATTGGCATTTGTCCCAGCTGCTGGGCGTATTCCTCGCTCTCCTCCTTATCTCTCTCCACGTATCGTGTAAATGCCTCAGTGTATTTCCTAGAAACAAGGACATTGCATTACCTGACTCCCCAGTGACGGGGGTCAGGACCCCCAGCCCCAGCGCACAGTTGACTGACCCACAGTCCGTGTCGCTTTCCCGATGTCCCATAACCTTTATGGCACTGTTTTCCCGGCCAGCCCGCATCCAGGGTCACAGACACATCAGTCCTCTGTCGGCTCCTTGATCTGGAATGGTCCTCGGCCTTTCCCATGTTTTGCAGCCTTGGCATCTTTGAAGCACGCAGCCCAGATTTTGTGGACACCCCTCTATTGGGGTGTGTCTGGGGTCGGCCGTGGGGTCCGGGTGATGCATCTTGTCGGGAATCCCACAGAGGCAACACATGCCTCGGGTGGTCCCCTCAGGAGGCCCGCCCGTGGTTAATCAGTGGTTCCCAGGGAAGACGGGGAACCACTGATTAAGGAGGTTAATATGAGGAGACGCACCTGACTGTGCCGACACCTGCTTCTCCTCATAGTCTCGCTTTCCGTGGTTTTCTGACCCATCGTGCTGTCTCCGCTTTGTGTTGGTTTCTGCTGTGGGAAGCTTTCCCTTCTCCCCGTGGAGGCTCAGCCACTTGTTTGTCAGGACTGTAAGGACTCCGAGGGCCCCATTTTACTCAGGGGCTGGAGTCCCTCCCTGCCGCCGTCCCTGGGGACGCTCGTGGCCCCAGACCTGGCTGTGGGAACTGGCACGGTTGTTAGATACTGGCATAGGTCTCCCGTCCGAGGCTCATGCGTGCACATGAGTCCTGTCGACAGGTGTGAGCACAGACGGGGTCTCCTGTGAGCGGAGCCCCCTTGTGACATGATCAGCGTGAGCGAGCGGCTGCCCCTTGTCTTCAGTCGCGTCAGGTCAGACTTTGGACGAGGCTGTGGATGGGGAGTAGTTGCTGTGTGCCCACAGGATGGGCTGTGGGAACCTCATGCCAGGTCTACTTCTGTTAACCTCTCAGACAGCCCAGGAAAACCCAGCCTTCAGCTCGCTTCCCAGACACTGTGGGGGCCGTCGGGTGGTAGACGGTGGGGCCGCCCTGCACAGGCTCGAGGTCTCGTGTTCTGGTCACCGAGCACTCATAACCCCGTCAAGGAGGAAATAGTGCTGCCCATCCCCTCCCCCGCTGTGGGCACCACGCCCCCTCCTGCCCGCTCCTGCCCTCTCCAGTCCCCCTCCTGTCCGCTCCCGGCCCCCTCCCACAGCCTCAGTGCTGAGCCTGCCTGCTCCAAGGGTTTTTCTGGGTTGTCTGTTTTCAACTGGAAATCTGCACACTCATGTCCTGTTTCCTCCCATCTGTTCCCGTTTCTGCATTTCTGATTTCATTAGATGTGTTTTATGTAAGTCACCTGCAGTCTTTTTCAGAGCAAGGCAGGGCTATAAATAATAAATAAGTTAAAACTGAAAATCCTATAAGTTATTCCCCAGTCATCAGCTTTAAAGAAACCCTGACCTGTGACCTGGGGACGTGACTCTCCAGCCTCCTGCCTTCAGCGGTTCACCTCCCTTGGGAGAGCGTGTGTGGTGTCTTCTCTGTGTTGCGAGTGGGTCTCTCCCCAGCAGCCCCACTTTGGGGTGCTTCTCTGCAGCTCTTCCTCCCATCTGTACTCCTGGGCGAGGGCTGGAGTGGAGGGGACGATGGCCCCGTTGGCCGGGGTCTCCCTGATGACGATGGCGGTAGGAAGTCCCTTCCTGAGGTGGACAGGAGCCGGCGAAACCCACCATCCTCAGCATCCGGAGACCGCAGCCCCTCTGTGTCCTCGGTGCAGAGGAAGGTCACAGTGCACGTCCTCGGGGAAGGGTCGGCTTGTCCCTCACGATGTGTTGAATTACGACAATGCGTCTTATTACTCAGGAAGGTCCAGGCAGGACCCCACCGGGGGCGACCAAGTGTCGTAATTTGGAATCCATTGCAGAAAAGGACGCCTTACCTTACAGAGGAAGAGGGGTGTCCTCATGACTGTTTTTAAGCTTTTTCTTTTTTCTGGTGAGGAAGATCGGCCCTGAGCTAACACCTGTGCCAACCTTTCTCTACTTTATATGTGGGACACCGCCACACCATGGCTTAACCAGCAGTGTGTAGGTCCACGCTGGGGATCTGAACCCGCGAACCCAGCCACTACACCACCGGGCCAGCCCCAGCTTTTCTTCTTAAACTTCAGACAGATTTCCTCCTGTGCTCCTGAGAACAGCAGCCGTCTGGGGAAACAGCCGGCTCAGCCGGTGATGTCTGTGCCCTCAGCGGCCGCACCTTCCAGACTCTGGACGTCCTTGCCCTCCCGAGGTCACTGAGAACTGCGGGGTGGGCTCCACGGTTTGTGCCGTGTCCGGACTCTCTTCCTCCCCATCACCATCCTGAGGACAAGGTCCAGCTCTGACCTCGTCTCTGGATGCGGCAGTAGACTCTGTGAAGTGGCAGGAACTCATGTGGTGGGAGCGCAGGCCCCGACGGTCCAGCCGCGGGCCAGAGTGGCCCCAGGCCCAGTGCCCCCTCCCAGCATCCCCAGTCATGTGCTTCACTGTCTGTATCGTCCCCCACCGGCGCCTCCCTGGCCACGCGGACACACTGGGGGCGCAGGGGTAGACCTTGGAGCAGCTTCTTCGGACGCAAGGAGCGGTTCCCAGTGACCGCTCGCCTGGGAGGACGGCTGGTTTCCTCTTACTACGGCCCTTGTGCACTGTGGCCTCCCTGCATTGAGCAGCATTTCCTCACCCGCCGCTCTCCCTCCTGCCCTGTGTGTCTGCCTCTCTCACTCACGGGCAGAGCTCGATGGCTGGTATTCAGTAGGTGCCTAAAGCCGCTCTGGGTCTGCGGGAGATGCTGTGGGGAATGCTCTGGGTCTGGGGGGTGCTCTGGGTCTGCAGGGGATGCTGTGGGAGACACTCTGGGTCTGGGGGCGTGCTCTGGGTCTGAGGGGAATGCTGGGGGGCGCTGTGGGTCTGGGGGGGATGCTATGGGTCTGCAGGGGACACTGTGGGTCTGGGGGGACACTCTGGGCCTGGGGGGATGCTGTGGGGCTGTGGGGGCTGCTCTGGGGCTGGGGGTGCTGCTCTGCGGCTGGGGGGCACTGGGTCTGGTGGGGACGCTGCAGGTCTGCGGGGGGATGCTCTGGGTCTGGGGGACGCTCTGGGTCTGTGGGGGACTCTCTGGGGCTGGTCTGGGCCCAGGGTCTCTGGGTCGCGCTGCACTCACGTCTCTGTCTGGGCCTGAGATCAGCCCCCAGCCTGCAGTGGGTGGCATTGGCCGGACGACGAAGAGGCTGCTCCACAGCTGGACGGCCCCTGACAGCAGTGCCGCTGGCCCTGCTCTGTCCGCTTGACTCGTCCCCCCAGCACTATTTGGGGCCATTTCTTGGGCCAGCAGACAGCCCATGGCAGATGGGAGTGTTCTTCCCGGACCCAGGGACATTAGCACTGTCACACCTGCTCCGGGAGCCGACTGCCCGCCTCCTTTGTGGGCAGCGTCCTGTAGCCTCGCATGTCTGTGCCCCACCACGGCCGTCCCCAGGATGGGGACCGGGATCACCGTGCCCTTGGCTGGCGGCGTTCCAGACATCCATGGAAGGACACGAGTGTGGAAAACGTCCTGGAAGCAGCTGACCTGTCTCGTTCTGCCAGGACCTTAATTTAGTTTTAAAATAACTCCGACCCTAGCGTCATTTATGCACCGGCCTGTCTTTCCTGCTGCCTTCCTCAGAGCCGCTGCCCCTGGTCCTAACTACCAGGCTAACGTCCCGTTCCCTTTGGGAGACGTTTTGGAAGGCCTCAGTGTGCCAGCCCTGTCGGGGGGCCAGCCTGCAAGGATGCGCAGGACAGGAATCCCCGTCCAGAGGCTTGCGCTCCGCTGGGGATCGCAACCACATGCAGATGGTGCCTCTGAGGCTTTGCGAAAGTCGTGTGCGGGCAAGGCGGGTGGCCTGTGGGCTCTGGACACGAGCCTGAGTGTTCCTCAGGAGCCCAGACCCACAACTCGCTCCCCGAATCCCTCGACACCTGCTCCTCCACTCGGAGCACGTACACCATCCCTTGGAAGAGGCCACCGTTGTCTTTAATGTCCTGACTCCTGGCCTCCCCTCGTCCCTCTGACGAGTCCAGCGTGAGGGCCTTCAGGGCTCTGGCTCCCCACCTCCACTTAGTCACCCGCCCCCGTCTTCTGAGTACAGCCTGGCCTGCTCCTACTGGGAGCACTTGACCCTCCCTGGCCTCAGGACCTTTGTACCTACTGTCCCTGCTTCCCCAGGACCTTCACACCTACTGTCCTTCTGCCCCCAGGACCTTGGTACCGATTGTCCTTGTGCCCGAGGACCTTTGTACCTACTGTCCTTCTGCCCCAGGACCTTTGTACCTACTGTCCCTGTTGCCTGGGACACTTTCCGTCTCCTGCTTTCCCTATTCAACTTAACTAACTCTTAATCATCCTAATCTCACCAGGTGGGTAATTTATTTAAAGGGTCCTTTCCTGACCCTCCCTTTGAGCCTTGACCCTCACATACCCCCTGCACTTTGCGTTCACATTTGTCTTTCTTGTTTGCTGGAAGCTCAGGAGGGTTGAAACTGTTTGGGCTCGTGTGTCTCCGGAACGTGGAACAGCGCCTGGTACTGAGGACTGTGTGTTGAATGAATAATACATAGGAAAGGCAGCGGAGGCTCCAAGAAGCCTTGGGGAGGAAGTAATGCCTGTCTGGAAGGAGGAGTCCCCAGGGCGGTCAGGTGGGGGAGGGGGAGCCTTTCAGATGGAGACAGCAGCACATGCAAAGGCCCCGGCAAGTCTGGGGCGAGGACAGGAGGGTGGTCAGGGTGAGCTCGGACACACCTGCAGGAAAGCCTGTCCCAGCTTAAAAAACAAGGCCGCCCAGAGAGACCAGCCCCGTTGATGTCATGGCCTCGGGGGGCAGGCGAGCCATGCTACTGCCTTGCTTTTCGAGTGGGGACCCCCGAGGCCCCAGGAAAGGAAGTACCGTGGCCAGGTTGACCAGGGTGTCCCAGTGGAGTCACACTGGCCTCAGTGCCCATGGGCCCTGCTGCTCCTGGGGCCCCTGGGGGGTGCTGTGGCTTCTGGCTCTGTCAGGTTCAAGGGCAGCAGAAAGCCCTTTGTGCCCACCTCGGCCCCTGGGCTCGTCCGCGCCTCTGGGTCAGCTCCGGGCCCTCCCACCTCGGCCCCTGGGCTCGTCCGTGCCTCTGGGTCAGCTCCGGGCCCTCCCACCTCGGCCCCTGGGCTCGTGGCCTCCTGGTGACCCTGGTGGCTCAGCAGATCTGCTGCGCAGCCCCTGAGCCCGTTCTCTGTCCCCTAGATGTTCCAGGTCATCCAGCCTGAGCGAGCCCTGTACATCCAGGCCAACAACTGCGTGGAGGCCAAGGCCTGGATTGACATCCTCACCAAAGTGAGCCAGTGCAACCAGAAGCGCCTCACTGTCTACCACCCCTCCGCCTACCTCAACGGCCACTGGCTGTGCTGCAGGGCGGCCTCGGACACGGCCGCCGGCTGCTCCCCCTGCACCGGGTAGGTCTGTGCCTCTCCAGCCTCCAGGTCCCTCCCAGCCGCCCGGTGGGCCAAGCGCGGTTGTCCGGCTTGTGCACTGTACAGGGACGTTTGCCCAAGGGGCTGTGCTGGGGCTAAAATGCAGCCCCGCCCACTCGGCAGGCTGCTCTCACGCGGGCTGCGTCTCCAAGGCTGTTCCCTCATTGTCGAGGAGCCCCCACCCTGGGCCATCCTCAGGAACGCTCTGTGCAGACTGACAAGAGCCCTGAGCCTCGTGGGTCGTCCTCCCCCTGCGGGTAGTCGGCGCCGTCCTTGGAGAGTGGGGGGCCGTGGAGGAGGGGGCTCCACGCAGAGAGAAGATGGGGCAGGTGCTGGCTTGTTTCTTCTCAGAAGGGTCTGGAAGGATCCACCATCCTGCCCACACCCCCTCTGCTTCTCTGATGTTGGCACATGCCCCTCCTTTGGAAACTGAGGCAGCCCTTTTCCTGCCCCACCTCAGCTGGGCCTCCTGAGGGTCATTAGAAGCTTGTCTCTGCCAGTCCTGGGAGGAGGCCTGGGTGCCCTAAGCCCGGCTGGGCGCTCGGCCGGTCGCCATGCCCATGTGACTTGTGAGCACAGTGATAACTGCTGTGTGTCGCGGTTGTGGGTGTGACAAGTCCCCCAGAGCTCTTGGAGGCGGGAACAGGAGCTGCAGCCTCACAGACGAAGCCGCTGAGACCCGGGATGAACCCCTGCTGGGTTCCGGGGGTCTGTGTGACGGAGTCCCCCTGCTGCCTCCCAGAGAGCAGGAGCCCTCGCAGCCTCGGGGAGGAGAGGGGAGCTAGCGTGTCCCCACCTGGGACAGCTGACCCGCCCCTCAGGGCCCCAGTGTGTCGGCAGGGCTGCTTTTGTTCTGGGTTATTTCTGTTCATGGCAGAACAAGTCTGCCTTGCTTGCTTGTTGTCTTGGCAGATCTGTGGGCACTGAGAGGCTTCCAGTCCTCAAGACCACGGCTGGTCACTTCTAAATGCTCGTGCCCTGGTCACAGACTGCACACAAACGCCCCAGCCCTGGTCAGGGACAAGTGCAGTGTCGGCTCATTCCTCGTCTTTAGTGATCTTTGAAAAAATCGTGTCACGGTTAACAGCATTGTTCCTTCCATTCTCTCCTCGCTGTGTTCGGGCAGCGGCCTCCCAGCAAACATTCAGCTGGACATCGACGGGGACCGTGAGACGGAACGCATCTACTCACTGTTTAACTCGTACATGAGCAAGCTGGAGAAGATGCAAGGTAAGAGCAGGGTGGGGTCCAGCCTCTTGCCACAGGAGGTCAAGGCAGCTTTGGGGACACCTGGCTGGGGTCCCGGTGACACGTGGAGCTTTCTATAGAGGTGACTTGGGGAAGTAAGCCCCTGGAGCCTCCAGTCTGTGTGCGGCTTTATCGTTATGGCTCTGATGGGGAAACACTTTCTGCAGGGTAGGCAGCCGTCTGGGGAAATTACTTTAATAACGGGTTCTATAGATAATTTTAAGATGGGATCTAGCTTGCACTCTCTGAGCTGCCAAATTCCTGAGAAGCTCCTCTGTTTTAATAACTTTCTGTACCCCCAGAAAACTTTGTTCTTCTGTGCTTTCCAGAGGGACATGTGAACATACGTGTAAGCATGTGTCGACACATGTGAGTGTACACGTGGGAGCATGTGTGCGGACACGTGAGTTGTGTGGACACGTGAGCATTGTGTGCGCACACATGCCCAGCAGCTCCAGGTCTGACACTCATGCAGTCTCATGATCCCTGACATTCATTGCTCATGTGCTCTACTGAATTAAGCAGTGTAGACTGCACAAATTGGGTGACATGGGATGGCCGTCTGGGGCTGTATTCGGGAGAGGCAGACATGAGGAGAGCCCGCTGGGAGGCAAGTGAGCTGCGCTGACCCTGTGTTGGGTCTGGTAGTTCTCAGAGCCCTAAGAGACTCTGGGATGGGCCCTACACCCCTTCGGTGTGAAATAAGGCTGAATATGCCTAGAAACGAGCCTGGCAGGCTTTCCTTTTTGTTCTCCTGATCTACCCACAAGTGTCAGTCGTGGGCCACGGCTGAGAAAATCCTTCAGTCCTGCTTTGGCGAGCACAAGATGCCCCTCTATGAGCTCAGCCACGCCTGTTCTCCAGTCCCCACATGCACCCTTGGATGGCTCATCACATGCATGCCCAGGTGCAGGCACACACACAGCCGCACATGCATGCACAGGCACACACACAGCTGCACACACATGCACAGGCACGCACACAGCCACAGGCACACAGCCACACACATGCACAGGCACATACACAGCCACACATGCGTGCACAGGCACACATATAGCTGCACATGCGTGAACAGGTACACACACAGCCACACACACGCACAGGCATGCACACAGCCACACAAACGCACAGGCACACACACAGCCACACCCACCTGAACAGGCATGCACATAGCTGCACATGCATGAATGGGCACGCACATACACGTGCAAGACAACTGTGCATGTGTACACACTTGCACACACATGCTCACATGCAGTTGTGTGCACATGCACGGACAACAGCATGTGTATGCACATGCATGCACACACACACACTCCGCCAGCAAGTGTGCCACACACAGTATCTGGCTCCAGGGTTCCAGGAGGCCATGCAGCAGTGGCCTTGAGGCTGCACAAGGCCTCAAGGTGGCAAAGATGTTGGAGCCGGGGGATGATAGCTTCTTCCCAGTGCATTGATAAGAGTGACCAGAACAGAGGAGGGTGGAATCAAGAATCTTGGAGAGGTTGAGGCCACCATGTGAGACTCAGGTTCATGGATGAGGCTGACTAGGCCTTCCACGGTCCGCCACCTTCCTTCCAGCCACCTCTCTCCACTCGCTGCCTCCCTCTTTGCCCCCAGCGGTGCCACACCACCTGGGGCTGCTGCAGCACCACACTGCCGCAAAGCCCTGTGCCTTTCTTCTGATGCCACCCCGAGTCTGACTAACGCCTGTTTGTTCTGTGAGTCTCCCCCTCCCAGGAGCTTCTCTTCACCCCCCATGCCGATAGCTGGTGCTTATCACTGTCCTTGCAATGATAATCATCTCTAATCTGTTCACCTCAATATTACCGTGACCGTTTGAGAACAGAAGCAAGTCTTATTGACCCCAGAGCCTGGCACAAAGGAGGACTCAATACCTGTTTGCTGGGTGGGTGGATGGATGGGAGGGTGAATGATAGATGGATAGGTGGGTGGATGATTGAAGGATGGATGGAGGGATGCATGGGTGAATGGATGATGGGTGGATGGATGGATGAAGGGTGGATGGGTGGAGGATGAATGGATGGGTGGATGGGTGAATAGATGGATGGATGATGGATGGATGGATGATGGATGGATGGATACGTGATGGGTGGATGGATGATGGATGAATGGGTGGGTGGATGGATGATGGGTGGATGGATGGATGAAGAGTGGATGGGTGGAGGATGAATGGATGGGTGGATGAAGGGTGGATGGGTGGAGGATGAATGGATGAATGGATGGGTGGATGGACGGATGGATGATGGATGGATGGATGCGTGATGGGTAGATGGATGATGGATGGATGGGTGGATGCATGATGGATGGATGACAGATGGATAGATGATGGATGGATGAAGGGTGGATGGGTGGGGGATGAATGGATGGGTGGGTGGGTAGGTGGATGGATGGATGACGGATAGATGGATGGATGATGGGTGGATGGGTGGATTGATGACAGATGGATGGAGGATGGATGGATGGATGGATGAAGGGTGGATGGGTGGAGGATGAATGGATGGGTGGGTGGATGGATGACGGATGGATGATGGATGGATGATGGATAGATGGGTGGAGGATAGATTGATGGATGATGGATGGTTGGGTGGATGGATGATGGATGGATGGTGGATAGATGGGTGGAGGATAGATTGA